GTACTTCTTGGTCGTGAATATCTGAATAGGACAAATCGCCCCGTGGATATCTTTGCTTCGGAACAAAACAATTAGAATTAGGCTCGGTCAACTGGAATGTGTATTATCGATATAGGGGATCTTTCAATTGAGAAGATCCATAGACCTGAGACGGAGAGAAAGCAAGGTCTATCTATTTTATTTCGTTATTCAGTTAAACCAATGATTCGTTATTGGAGCAGATAGCAATAACCATTTCATCCGGGAAAAGCCATCTTTTTCTTAACAATGTCTTTGTCATTTGATCCAATAGCGTTCCGTTAGATAGGAACAGATTTGATAAATATTGATAACTCTCGGATAGAGTATTAGAACGGAAAAATCCATTAGATAATGAACTATTGGTTCTAAGCCATCTCTGGCGATGAATCAACAATTCGAAATGCTTTTCTTGCGTATTTTTGATAAACCAGCGTTTATATATAGATGTAGGAAGATCTGTTTGGGAAGTAAGAAGCCCCCTTGACATCTCTTCATCTGCAAAGAATTCTCGATGTGAAAACACAGAGACAAAAGGCTGATCTTTGAATAGGAAAAAGAGTGGATCCGCAGGGTCCCAAATGAATTGGCTTATTCGAAAAAAACCTTGTTCTTTGCAAGATCTATCTCGTGTCTGGTACTGCAGGGTTCCACCCTGCAAGAACTCCGAATCATTCTCTTGAAGCTCATCCTCTTCATCATAAATTATCTGCTTGCCCCGAAATGACCCGGCCCAATAGGGAAATCCCAATTCATTTGGCCTTTCGATACAATCAAATAGAAAGCCCCAAGGGCGCCATGTTCTAGGAGCCCAAACTATGTGATTGAATAAATCCTCCTCTATCTGTTGCGGGTCGAGGACTCCTTCCCCTTCTTCAAACTCCGATTCATATTTTTCATAGAGAAATCTCTGATCAACGATAGAACAAGATCCATTTTGAATCATATTTAAGGGATTCCTTGGTTCGGGCCGAAGAAGCAATGTCACTCGATCATTATCAAACTGACTGCAATCTTTTTCTGTCCGCGAGGATCCCATCAGAGCGCCTTCTACTTCTAATACGCCATGAACTAGATCATAATCATTCTCAACGAGTCCATAAGAAGTGATCCCATTTTTTTCTTTAGGTCCAGGTAGAGACCAAAGGTCTTGAGCGACCGATCCGGCAGAACAACTCAAAAGATAAAGAAGTATCGTTAATTTCTTCATGCTCGTTCCAAGTTCGAAATACCATTTGTACAAATAAGAATCCCCCTCGTTACATGATTTCTTCTTCATATAGATAGATATAGGATCTATGGAGCAATTACTTAGAAGTACATTTTGTGAAACAGCCCTTCCTATCTGATAGAAAAGGATCCCATGATCCTGAACCGATCTTAACTGGGATCGTAAATCCCAAGTTTGTCTATGAAGAGCAGATCTAATTATATTAGTGTCTATAATGGATTTCTTTTGGATAATACTAATCGATAGGGCCTCGTTGGTAAGTGCTACAAGATCTCGTACATTGGAACCCATAGTTATGGACCCGAATCCATTAGTATGGAACATCTTCTTTTCCAAGTGAAATCCCCTAGTATATGAAAGAGTGAAAAGGTGCTTTCGTTGTTGTGGAATAAGAAGCCTTCGTATCTTAATTTATGTATTTAATTTATTCGGAGCTATTAGAGCGGGATCTACTTTTTGGGGAATGTGAGTCGAATCAATAACAAGAATATTTCTAGTGGAACATCTTTCACAATCCCCAGAGAGATAGTTAATTAATAGACCGAGGGATAAGTAATTCGACTCATTCATATCCAGATCATGAATGTTTGGAATCCATATTATGCAAGGAGACATTGCTTTTGCTAATTCGAATTGAAGGGGGATATAAAATCGGTCTATTTCCGGAATCATATCCATATGTAGCGCATTCATCATAGTTAGATGATCCAGCTCCGTATCAGGGTCACGGTCGATATCGTCACTATCATCACTATCGTCACTATCATCAATAAGAAAACCCTTAGGCTTGTTATCCATGAACTTGTTCAGAAATACTGTAATGAAAGGAAGATAGGAGTTTGTCGCTAGGTATTTGACCAAATAGGATCATCCAGTTCCTATAGAACCTATCACTAAGAGGAGCGAAAAGGGTTTCCCATGAGATGGCAAATGAAAACTATTAGCCCCACACGGGGTTTGTGAAGTGATTGTCTGATAATGAGCAAGGAATATCCGTCTTTCTGCTAAACATGATGTATTGAACTCATAATTCATTAGATACTTTTTATGAATGTCAACTAAGTATCGTAAGTAAACTGCTCCCGATTGTTCAATCATTTGATAACCAAATTTATTCTTTGATAAATGATCACTATGAGTCAAACTCAATAGAATTTGATCAATCCTTTTTTCTATCATTAAGGTAGAGAACTGAACCAAGAATTCTCTTTCTTTATCATCAATCGAATCGCTGTTCGAGACCCAGGATTCTATTTTATCATCAATCCAATCACCATTCACGTTTTTTCTTTTTCTTATCAAGGAATAGATCGCTTTACTTGTTTGACTTAGATGTCCCGTATTTCTCGAAAAAGCGATTCGATTGATGGGATTTGGTATGATACTTATGAGATCGATGAGATTCCAATCTTTCTTCTTAGAACGTATTGACTTGACCCCACAAGCGGGACCACCACCCCATAGCATGTTGCCTCCAGAAGCAGAACCCTGTATTTCTTCTAGAGAATCTCCTAATTGTTCCAGAGCAACTAGAAAGAAATTCTTTAACCAGAAAGCATTCAGTTCAGATGTAGGATACCTATCTAGAAGTTTTCGCAACTCAATCGTGTATGATGGAATCATCAAAGATTTGACCTTTTCGAACTCTGTCTGTAACTCACTATAGGCTCGAGAAACAAAGAAAAGATGTGTACGAACGAGATATCCAACAACAAGAAGAAGGAAAAGGATTGAATAGAGGAACTCCCTAACATTTAGCGATCCCAGATGTGTCGATATCAATGGTGACTCATTATTTCGATGAATAATTTTTCGGACAGAAGAAGATTATGTAAACACTTACTCGAAATCTCACTTATCATATTCCATTGCGTCTTCCACAATGGAATCTGAAGAATTCGCCATGATATATCTGATCCATGCAATATCATGAAAAATGGATACAAATTTTTGGTTGCTACTTAGTATCGGCAATAGGTCTAAAAAGGTATCTAAAAAAATGAGATTTAGATATTTGTACCCTGTCGAAGTAAGGAACCATGGTATATATGTTTGGAATAGATTCCATGGTATATATGTTTGGAATAGATTCCCTTTGGAGAGAGTTGAAAAAGCACTATCTCGTTGAAAGGTTCTATACATCTGCCCTTTCTCAAGGCATTTTTTTAGACAAGGACTCTGTTTTTTCCTCTTTTCGGATGGTAATATTTCTCAGAACATGCAGTGTGAATAAACCCATGTTTGAATTGAAATTGAGATACTGATGCAAGTTCTTCCCTTCTGAATCAGGTAGATTCATATCTGAAAGAGGTTGACAATAAGTTCTGTCAAAATTGACTATTTGTCCCTCTGTTAGAGGTGTTCCAGAAATGTCTGCGATCGAGTAAATATCTCTACGATCGAATGGATCGGATCGGATCGAGTAAATAGCTCTACAGAGTGGATTATTCGGACCTTTCAATTCATAGATGTGGATCTCGGACCTATGAATGGGGATACTCCTGAAACTCACAAATAAAAAAGGAAGTGACTTTGACAAAAAGAGAAGAAACTTGGCCAAAAATAGACGTAACTTGGACAAAAAGAAACAAAGTGACTTAGACAAATCTTTTTTGTCGATAACCTCAGACCAATCCATCGAATATTGATTAATACGTAATCGATTGAACACTACTTGAAAACGGCTATTACGTAATCGATCGAACACTACTTGAAAGAGGTTGACCTCCTTGCTTCTCTCATGTTACAATCCTCTTGCCGCTGAGCTCCCTTTCTCCTCGGCCCACAAAGACAAAATGTAGGACTGGTGGCAACAGTTCATCACGAAAGAAAGGAATCACTGAGCCGAAATCACTGACTAATACTAATAGAAAATACTAATAGAATAGAAATCGAACTGTCTTTTCTGTATACTCTACCCGATTCCGTTGCTACCGCGCACTTTACGCAATCGATCGGATCATATAGATATCTCTTTAACACAACTTAGGTCATCGAAAGGATCTCGAAGACCCACCAAAGCACGAAAGCCGGGATCTTTCAGAAAATGAATTCCTATTCGAAGGGTGCATAACCGCATGGATAAGCTCACACTAACCCGTCAATTTGGGATCCAATTCGGTATTTTCCTATTTCTCTATCCCTATCTCGTAGGTATAGCGTTTGAATCAATAGAGAACCCTTTCTTCTGTATCTGTATGAATCGATATTATTACATTCCAATTCCTTCCCGATACCTTACCTCCCAAGGAAAAAACCGAAGATTTCACATAGTACTTTTGATCGAAAAATCAATCTGATTTATTTCCTACCTTTCGCTCAATGAGAAAATGGATCAGATTCTACAGGATCAAACCTGTGGGACTTAAGGAATTATGGAAGAAAATCAAATATATATATATAAGTAAATAAGTAAATAGTAGTAGAAGAGTCCAGATTCCAAACGAACAAGTTCAAACTTGATTGAAAAGGATCTTTCTGATTCTCGAAGAATGGGGGGGGGGGGGGCAAAAAAAGGATTGATCGAGAAAGATTTTTTGTTCTTGTTATAAGATCGTGATTGGATCCACATATGTTTGGTAAAAAGATTAATCTTCTCCTTTGCTTTGAGAATAATCAAAAAAGGAAAGTGTTCAATTGGAACATGAAAACGTGACTGAATTGGTCCTAGTTACTCTTCGGGATGGAGTGGAAGAAGGGGGGAGATTCTCGAACGAGGAAAAGGATCCAATGACTTTGAAAGAATTGAATGAGGAGCCGTATGAAGTGAAAATCTCATGTACGGTTCTGTAGAGTGGCAGTAAGGGTGACTTATCCGTCAAATTTTCCACTATCACCCCAAAAAAGAGTGATTTAAGCCAAAGCATGTAGTTTTTCCGATAGGCCGTTACAATTGTTGTACATGTACTTATTATGCTCTTGTAATAATAGATAATTTTTGTAGATTTACATGGACATAGTTTTTGGTGTACAAAAATTAAGCTTTCCATGATTTTGCAAAAATTCGCTGCTATTAGAAGTGATCATGGGGGAGAAGTTCAAAATGCTGCTATTAGAAGTGATCATGAGGAATTTGGTGATGAAGATGATATCAGACACAATTTCTCAGCACCTAGAACACCACAACAAAATTGTGTTGTAGAAAGGAAGAATAAGTCATTGGAGAAACTGGCACGCACTACGTTAAATGATATTGACTTGCCCAATTACTTTTGGGTTGATACAGTGAGTACCGTCAATTACGTCTCTAATAGAGTTTTGATAAGACCTATTCCCAAGAAAACTCCCTATGAACTATACAAAGGTAGAAAACCAAATATAGCTCATTTTCATGTCTTTGGGTGTAAATATTTTGTTCTTAATAATGGAAAAGACATTCTTCGTAAATTTGATGCAAAGTCAGATTAAGGAATCTTTCAAGGTTATTCTCTGACTAGTAAAGCATATATAATTTTTAATAAGAGAACTTTAACCCTGTGAGAGTCTATGCATGTATCATTTGATGAAACTAACCCCTCCAAAGAGGAAAAACTTATTTTTGATGATGATGATTTACCAAGCACATCCCAAAGTGAAATAACAATTATTGGAGAGTTAAATGACATAGAGAAAATGAATTATAATGATGATCTAACTCAACAAGAAGATAAAATACATTATGATTTACCAAAGGAATGGAAAACCTGTAGAGATCATCCTATTAACAACATCATCAGTGACTTAAACAAGGCATTTTCTTCTCGACATAATTTATATGATGCATGTCTTAATATGGTCTTTGTTTCTAAAAAAGAACCATATAAAATAGATGATACTACTCATGATGAGCATTAGATTATTGCTATGCAAGAAGAGCTCAATCAATTTTAGAGAAACCAGGTTGGGTAATTTGTTCCTAGACCTAAGAGGTCAAAGGAACAAGATGGGCATTTAGAAATAAATCATATGAAAATGGCATTATTGGTAGAAATAAGGCTAGGCTAGTAGCCCAACGACCAAGAGGAGGGACTTGATTTCGAAGAAGCATTCACTCTTGTGGCTGGACTTGAGGCTCTAAGATTGTTCTCAGCTTACACATGTTCATTAAAAATTCAACTTTGTAAATTGGATGTTTAAAAGTGCTTTTTGTAACACCCTAAGTTTTATTTTCCTAAAAGAATAGTTACGGTAGAAAATCTGGGGTATACTGTAGGATTCTCGCTTGAGCGAGAGGAGCCTCGCCCAAGCGAGAGTGTCAACATTTCTCCCAGGATTTTCTTTGGGACTCTCGCCTGAGCGAGAGATGGCTCGCCTGGGCGAGAGGAAATTGTACAGGCTACGAGATTCTCGCCTGGGCGAGGGAGAGAAGCATGGAGGCTGTCGAATTCTCGCTTGAGTGAATATCTCTCTCTTGAGCGAGAGCGTCAGAGTTTGAAACTTTAAAAGGCGGGGACTTCTCGCTTGGGCGACGTATGTAAGGACCCGATTTTCGTAATCCAAAAATTCTTTTTAAAACCTTGTTCATGAAAGTGAAGTGATTACTTTTGGAAGACATTACTTGAACGGTTTGGAAACTTGAGTGAATACAAATATTAGTTCCATTTATAAATCACAAGGCGAAAATATTCCAAATACATCTCACTTCAAAAGCATGTCATTACACTTCCTTTCAAATACATAATCTAAACAATTATCCTTTCTCAAGGAATACTTTTAATACAAACATTAAATCAACTTCATTATACACTTAGGAGGAGTTCCATTTTACAAAATAGATAATCCAACATAGTTCTCCTATTATAAACATTTATCATATAACATATCAATTACATAAAACCCTACTCTACCATGTTCTCTATTCCGCAAGCGTCGAACGCGCTACCGCCACAACCTGAACTCAAATACACAACACATACAAGAAGAGACAGAAGGAGTAAGAACCAACTACGATGACCGTAGCGTGGAATTACATGGAGTAATAACATTAAAGTATTAAACCTATACAACGTTTAACGTCAATCATATTAAACATATAACAATCAACACATTATACCACATATGTTCATATTTCCAATTAGCATGATTATCATTTCTCACTTAGACAGTTCATTCCAAATCACTATAACATTTATAGGATATTCACTCCTTCATTTAGCACCTATTACAACTTACTTACATGATTTACCCAATTCAACCTTCATCATAATTCAACATACATATATATCTATAAATCATGCTATATAACTTGAGCCAAAGTTTGCTACATTGCTTGAGCCAAAGATTGCTACATTGCTTGAGCCAAAGCTTGCTACATTGCTTGAGCCAAAGCTTGCTACATCGCTTGAGCCAAAGATTGCAACATCGCTTGAGCCAAAGCTTGCTACATCGCTTGAGCCAAAGCTTGCTACATCGCTTGAGCCAAAGCTTGATACATCGCTTGAGCCAAAGCTTGCTACATCGCTTGAGCCAAAGCTTGCTACATCGCTTGAGCCAAAGCTTGCTACATAGCTTGAGCCAAAGCTTGCTACATCGCTTGAGCCAAAGCTTGCTACATAACTTGAGCCAAAGTCGCTATACCATTTCGGTTAGCTAAAATATACTTTGTTTTTGAAAATCATGCTACATAACTTGAGCCAAAGGTTGCAACATTGCTTGAGCCAAAGCTTGCTACATCGCTTGAGCCAAAGCTTGCTACATCGCTTGAGTCAAAGCTTACTACATTGTTTGAGCGAAAGCTTGCTACATCGCATGAGCCAAAGCTTGCTACATCGCTTGAGCCAAAGCTTGGTACATAACTTGAGCCAAAGTCGCTATACCATTTCAGTTAGCTAAAATATACTTTCTTTTTGAAAATCATGCTACATAACTTGAGCCAAAGTTTGCTACATTGCTTGAGCCAAAGCTTGCTACATCACTTGAGCCAAAGCTTGCTACATAACTTGAGCCAAAGTCGCTAACCAATCATGGTCGGCTAAAAACGTGTTTTCTTTTCATTGATTCACCACCAATTCATCTCATAACACAATAAACACAAGGTGTCTCATTGTTTCATCACCATAAAATAACCCACAACACCTTCATTGTCACAAACATACGCATATATGTTCATAACAATAAAGCGACTCACAACTTAGTCATTTTCATAAACATACTCATCTCCACTTTTAACAAATCATCAACTCGTCACGCAATCATTGTTACAAACACACTCATATATGTTTATGACAATAAACAACTCACACACAATCATTATCACACAACATAACCATTTCTACTTTTGTCATTAAACAACACATCTCACAATCCTTATTACAAACACACCCATATATGTTTATAACAAATCAACCATCCATAACACACCATTATCATAAACAAACCACACACAACATATTCTTCATCATATAACACATTAACGTTTGAACCATCTTTCATAACGGTGTATTACCATAAATGATCATATTGCGTTTTACTTAAATAAACGGTTTTCCCACACATATATCTCCACTTTTATGGTTAATACATCCTCACATGGACCACAAACACCCAAGAGAGTTTCTATCCGTTAACGTGCTCTGATTCTTGAGGGAAATCAGAGAAGATGACTCTAATGAAAAAATCTAAGACCACAATGGTCTTCTCCCTCACCTTAGGTTGCATAAGCTCTGTTGTTCCGCAAAAGAGCCACATCTCTCTTCATCTTCTCCAATCTCCATTGTTCCATTTTTCACCTCCAAGATTTCCCAAATGTGCCACCAAGAAGTAATAGGAAGAGGTTTTGATGAGTTTTGATGTTTAGTGGAGAGGAGAATGGTTCATTTGGGTGGAGCCGCCATTGGGAGAGAAATGAGAGAAAATAAAATGAAGATTAGGGTTTTTGAAACCCCACTTTTACTTTTATTGCTGCGCAGCCTCGCCTGAGCGAGAATGGCTGCTTGGGCGAGAATTTTGCAATTTTTCAGCTTTTCAACTCTGACGCTCTCGCCCGGGCGCGGATTTCTCGCTCGGGCGAGAATCAGGCAGTATGTTAAGGCTCCTGTGTAGCCTGGGCGGAAATTCTAGCTCAAGCTAGAATTTGACAGCTTTTCCAGATTTCATTCTCACTCAAGCGACCACTTCCTTGCTTAAGCGAGGTCCCCAAGAAACTCATATTATAACACTAAGTCTCTCTCTCGGGCGAGGTCCTCTCTCTCAAACAAGGATTGCCCAATATATACTCCAACACTCTACTTTTTCCAATCATTCCGAAAACGAAATTTGAGGTGTTACAATCCTTCCCCCCGAAAAGAAATATCGTCCCCGAAATTTTATTAGGTTACTCTTAGGAAAAACAAATACTATCATCGCCTAAACATTAGACATAAGATTTACTCGATCAACCTTAGATCCACCATCCAAACAATTATGATTCACTTAGACGACAAACAAGGACACATACCACATAGCAGTGATGCTACATAGACAATTCATGGATTAACCTCTTAGAGTCCAAATACAAAAGCCAAATATCAGGACAACTAGGACGACTAAGAGAAAATTATCACAACCGAAATAAAGATTCTCAAGTATTCAACAAGAACAATAGATCTCCCCAATCTATCAAGATAACAATCGTTCAAAACGATCAACACATACAGTGAGATTCACGATAACACCTTCAAATTCGAAAGAAAGTGGGAATCAATACCCATCATTTACCACGATGCATTAGATCGCATCCAACATGCAAAAGCTAGATCAACATCCACTCGATGGAAATAGAGTCATTTCATTTCATACATGAGAAATAGTCACAATTAATTCAAAATTCTCAATAACATTTCAAACTTGTACTCGCTACAACAAAGAAACATGGTAGTCA